AATTGAGCATTAAGGCCTGCAGTGTGAACGTAGCCTTAGATACATGAAAATGTGACAATCATGTTTCAGATCAGTTTCAGTGTCAGCTGTGTTTTTAAATGAGTAGATAGACAGAAATATAATTAGTCCTGGCTTCACTTTCTCCTCTGTTGGTTGCAGATGGTGTTGTAGTATTTGTAGACTGCTTTACAGTTAGTCATTGTTCAACTGGCCCGGAGCTCGTCTGAGTGCCTGTGCTTCCTGGACGGTGCTGCCTTTTTGTATTTCTGCTTCTGTCTCCTTGAACCCCAGTCGGCCTCAGCAGATGGCCGCTCACACGGGAGTTTTTCCTCTCCACTGTCGCTACAAGCATGCTTAGTGTGAGGGATTGCATTCGAGTCAACGAGTCGATGCAATCAACTGGTTTTCCTTAGATAGAAAACTTTGAATTCATCTGACTGGATGATCTGGTGAACTGGAAAGTACCTTGATTTGACGTGCATTGTAAATTGGTGCTATAGAAATAAACTGAATTGAAATTGAACTTGTTCTAAATGTAACAATAAAGCCTCACCTTTAGCAGTAAGCTCGTTACACTGTCTGATTGTTTGAATTTACCTATGAAACATAATATTGTATCTAAAAAGAATCTCATGTCTCCTTTATGAAATTTCCACCTCTAGTCAAGCACACATTCTTCCCATAATCAGGACAAAAGTAGTGATGGAAAAAAGAGGAAAATTTAGCTGAATTCCGCATCAAAATGCAGGAAACAGCGTTTCAGAGAGTCTAAATTTCATATTTGCTGCATGTGTTACACCAAGGTGTAAACCCCATGAAATACTCCTAGCTAAAAGCTTAATATAGAGACTACTGCATATGGCCTTTCTTTTCCAAGGTCTTCACATTAGATGTTTGGGAATGTTGGAGTTACCAAAGAAACTGAACTCAAGTCTTCATTTGAAGGGCATGTAATGGTAAAGGCATCATTTGACTCTGTTATCATTTTACTTTGCCTGATAGTAACCTTTGTTGGAGAATCGGAAAGTGGGACAAAAATGCAACAAACCGATCTATGAAGAGAGCAATAGTGTTTAAAGCGGCGAACAGAAGACTCCTGGGATCAGAGAAGCAGTACTCACTCATCGTCTGGCGTTAGCTGCACTGGTTCGTTGGTAAACTGCGTGTCAAAGTTTTCCAAGCCAAACTCATCAGAGCTTTGAGGTTTGAAGGGCGGCGTCATCTCTTTCTTTTCCAGCTGAAGAAAAACAAACCCATTAACATGTCATCATCATCATCATACGATGACCATAGAGAAAAGAAAAAGACAGCGGTAAGCATCATTTTCATTTGTTTTCAATGCAGCCTTTATCTTCTGTTTCTCATTGCTGCAGTTTTAGTACTTACATTTTTTTTCAATTTACCTCGGTAAAACTAAGCCATTTATAAAACAACATATTCCTTCAGTGAGTTCCTAAAGGGAGTAAAATATGTATTTTGGCTGATCAACCAAATACAAAGAGGAATAAATGAGCGTATAAACTTCTGTAACAATCATACAATTATTATAATAGGTTTAATTTACCATCCCTAAATGCTTTCCCCTGTTGAAACATAATTCTTTAGGAAAACAAAGTGATTAATTGTGAATCAAACATGGAATTATGTACAGAATTAAAAGATTTAAATATTATTCACCGACTGTAAAATAGTCTCAAAAGTAAACATTTGAATAATTGGAAAAGGTTGCAGAAGAATAAATACCTGGATACAAACAGTGCACCAGTGTTGTTCATGAACACGTTCAATGAATGTCGTTTTTAGTGAACGGTGAACTAAACTTCAAGTTCAACCCTAAATCCAGCTTAAAAAGCTAAGATTACAGCAGATCTCTACCTAACGTTACTGATCTGTAGCTTCTTTTACAAATTTCCCAGTGCAAGGCATTAAATATTGAGGCTGCAGCCTCTCAGAGTGTCCCTGTATCTGAATAGCATCAATCAGCTCGAGACTGAGGGTTAATCTAGTCCTTTTGTCACGTTCACATGGTGGACTGAGCTGCTCACGATTTCCTTCAAAACACTAACATAGCTGGAGAACAGCAATGCTGGAAATATGATGGTTTTTTCCCTTTTCTACGCTCAATGCCACTAATCTTCCTGCCTTTTGTTACCAATGTAGAAAAAGTCCCAGAAATATTTGTCCTTCATGTCTCTCATCAGAACTTAATATGTTTTTCCCACCTTCGAACTTTTGTAGCTTTTCCTGCTCATCTGCTGCTAAAGCTGCGCCTCAGAGCTGCTGTGAGATTGTAAATTTGTTTAAAATCAGTGGAAGCTTTCCTGTTGCAGCAAACTCAAAACACTGGATGTTTTTGTTTGACCCAAAACATGTCTGAGGAAAGGAAGAAAAAAAACAGCCTTGCACATGTTAAATGGTTAAGCAAACATAAACACTGTTCTATTCCGTCTTTATGCTCAGATGTGCTGCAGAAAAAAACAAAAAAAAAGAGTGATTTTTTTTGGGAAGTGTCGGTAGTGACGGCAGGACCGCTCATGGATAGAAAAACAACAGCATGCTGGATGTAGAGGCAGTAGAATAATTGAGCTGCAGTGATTCAGCTGGGAGAGTTTTTGTCTGCTGTGTTTCCATGGTTTCACATCACTAACTCACCCTTTTCAAATCTGTGCTGGGGACATTTTCCTAGAACACTAACATGTACTCCGTTTCCTTCCTCATGCTGTTTGGGACGGTTTGCTCGGTCACGACTGGGGCGGGGGGGCTTAACCCGAGGAGAAGACAGAAAAACCTTTTCAGCTACATTTTAAGTTTGACAGAGCGAGGTGATGTCTGAACCAAAACTCCCAGTTTCTTTAAAAACGAAATTTAATAGCACCAGAATGGCAAAATACCAGGAATAGCTAAACCCAACCAGAGAATGATTCATGAGTTTCAGGTGAATGAATCCTGCTGCAGAGACCAGTGCTGTTTCTCAGTTCACAAGAACGCAGGTATGGACTTGTGTTCTCGCCAAGTATGTTCTTGAGAAGAACAGAAAAGTCTGGACTCTGGGAGAATGGGAGGACCCAAAAATAGGGTGGACTCTATTTTTAAGGGGAATGCAAGTGATCAAAAATGGTAACTTGCCCTGTATAGGCTTAAGGTCACAACTGATGGGTTAATGAATATAGAGAGAGATAAGCTGAGAAACCACTGTGGGCCAAAGCTGCCTGCCTCTGTGTCCAAAAACATGACCTATGAATGCAGGAAACACCAAGGAGCTCCCCAGAGGGAGGGAATGGGGAAAAGTTGGGAGCCTTCCATAAAGTGCAAATCAGTAGGGGCTCTTTCGCCAAAAGAAGGAAATGTGTCAGCGGTCAACAAAGTTCTATCCGAATAGTTCTGGCAATAAGAGAGAAGCTAGGAAGAGCAAGGAGGCTTGCAGGATCCCAATGTTTCTATCCATCATGGTTTACCCACAATCCTTCTCTGGACATACACCTGCAACTTTTAGATGTGCCTTTGGTTCAAATTAGGGATGCACGATATAATCGGCCCCCTATCGGTATCGGCCTTAAAACTGAATATCGGACATCGGCCACCCCACCGATATTTAACCCGATATTTGATCAGCTTCTGAGTTTCTAAAGTCTAAAAAAAAAAATACTAGTTTCTTCTTCTTCCTCAAAAACTTCTTGTTTACAGACTTAAAAACTTCTAAAGACGAGGGGAAAGAATATTGATACATTAAAATATCCCAATATCTTCATATGCTGATATATTGCCATTTAAAAACACCATATCAATCTCTTTTACTAATGAAATATTGCTATATGTCATCAAAATTTTGCCATATTTTTATATGTTGATATATTGACGCGGTATCGATCTATTTTACTAACAAAATCTCACAAGAGTTTGTAACAGAACCATGAAATTTCACGAGATTTTGAAAGTAAAATAGATCGATACCGCGTTTTTAAAAATCAATTTGATATCAGCATATGAAAATATATTTGAGTATATTATTTTTCAAAGTGTCAGAAATGGATAACAAAACTGCTATTTTCAATGACTACTTATTTTTGTCCAGCTTTAACATCGGTATCGATATCGGTTATCGGCTACATGAGTTTTAAAATATCGGCATATCGGATATCGGCCAAAATCCCAATATCGTGCATCCCTAGTTCAAATGGTAAATGGCATGTACTTATATAGCGCCTTTATTCAAGTCAGGAGACTTGACCAAAGCGCTTTAAACTACATTCATTCACCCATTTTCGCACACACACACACACTGATGGTGGCAAGCTACATTGTAGCCACAGTTGCCCTGGGGCTCACTGACAGAAGCGGGGCTGCCGTACACTGGCGCTACCGGGCCCTCTGACCACCATCAGTGGAAGTGTCTTGCCCAAGGACACAATGACAATGAAAGTCAGAGCCGGGGCTTGAACCATCAACCCTTCAATTTCAGGGCAAACTCCTACATCCAACGCCACTGTCGCCCAAGTTCAACACCTGGATCAAGTAGTTAGATGACTGAGTGGACTCTGGAGGAATTGACTGCATACTGAGGAGATAACTCAGCCATTTGATTCAGGTGTGTTGGACCAAAGATGGTTTAAAAATGGCAGGACACTGGGCCCCAGGAACTGGAATTGTCCAGCCGTACTCTAGAGGAACAGCTTACCTCAGAGATTTTAACAAAATGACATGTACCTACATGAAACTTGTCACCCATCCTTAAGGCTTAAAGCTGCCTGGATTGACAGCAGCAGTACGGAGCTCCATTTCTATGCTGGGTAGGGTTCGTACTGTGGCACAGATAGGGCAGCGCTATAGGGAACTGCCTCACGGTGGCAAGCCTAAGAACACGCCAACAGCAGCGTTCTGCGGCACGCATGGCCTAAGTAAATTGTTCCCCGATGAACCGTTTGTACTGAAACAGAAATATGGATTACAATATAAATTGTAGTTGACAATAAAGAAATTGATTGATTGCACCGTCGGCCTCAAGATCGGCCTCAAGATCTGTGCAGAATTTCTTCACTTCTGTTTCTGTGCTTCACAAATTAAAACAACGTCCATATTTGACTGGATCCCACACTTGACTGCAAAATTGTCTGTGTGTTCAGGCCTTAATGGGAGATGGAAAGAAATTTGTCAAAGAAATAATAACGTACCGACCATTAACCTCATATGACTGATCCACTATTTCTGCTGCCAGCGTCTTCTAAATATGCATTAGAATTGCATTTCTTTGTCCAAAGACAAACAGAGAAATGCAACATCGACAACACTATCTGACATCACATGGCAGCTTTCCATGCTAGTGTTAAACCTTAATTTTCTTTTTTTGCTAAGTTTCTTAAAAATTTGAGCAACAGTCAGCTGGAATTGATTAATTTGAACTATTGTCTATTGCATTTAAAATCCATCCCTCACTAAATTAAATCCATCAGCCTTTTTGTAAAATACAAGCTCAATATACACCGATTTCTAGAAACGATTAAAGGCTTCTTCATATCTGCTGTAAGACACACCTCTGCAGCAGGTTCTTCCTATCTACAACTATTAATTTCTGCAACAAACTGAAAAGTTAAAAGATCTGATTCCCTTTTGGTATCAACAAGTATTTATTTATTGAACTGCATATTGCCAAATTGGAAATAAGCAGTAATGCTAAAAAATATCATCGCATTTGTTGCTTAAAGGCTGGTTTACTGTAATTCCTTCTATCAGGAAGTCCACAAACTGTAGTTAAAAGCTTTCAACTGATCAAAAATGCTGCAGCCAGAGTTCTGATGAAAATGAAAAAGAGAGATTCTATTCCTCCTAGTTTAGTGTCCCCTTTCATTAGCTTCCTTTTAAAATCCTCCATATAAAGCCCCAAACCCTGCTTTATATCAGAGATCTGATTGTTTCTTTTGCTCCTAATAGAGAACTCAGTTATCTGACTGCAGGTTAGAAAATGTTTTCCAGAGTTTCTAAAGTACAATGAGAGTCAGACTGTTTCGTTAGCAGTACACGAAAATATCTATGTTCTAGATCAGGCATTCCCAAGGTGGATCCTCCAGGACCTTTATCCTGCAGGTTTAGTGTTCCCTGCTTTAGCTGATGACTGCAGTTAAGCAAAAGCCTGCTAAGCAGCTACCAGTGAAAACCAGCTGTACTAAAGCAGGAAAAGCTCTAAAACCGGCAGGACATCGACCCTCGAGGACCGACTTTGAACCTGCCTGTTCTAGATCATAA